ATAGCTTTGTAGATACAAAAAAGACAGATTTGGACACACATGAGGGAGGGGGGGGGGGGGGGTAAGTATGTCCAAGAGAGGAAGCAATGTCAGGGCAGAGCGTCGGGGGGGGGTCCAGCAGAGCCTTCAGTCGAACACCTTCCCCAGGTCGGCTGGGAGACCCTCCGCCTGCCTCCACTGAGCGTTTCGCAGCTTAAACCATTTCTGAGGGGGAGAAGAGGGCGGTGTTAAAAACGTTTTTTTTTCTTGTTTGGACTTAAGAAGAACAGCTGACACAATCTGATCCAGAGACTGAAACAGGAGAGCGGTGACGTGATGCGTCCGGCTGACATGAATATTCCTGAGAAGTTTCACACGTGGAGTTCTTCTTCTGTGAAAAATGATTTGGACAAAATAACTCAACTCTCCAGATTCTTTGTTATTCTTTCCTCATCCTCAGGCCACAGGTTATATTTACCTACACAACTATTGTCTGTGACTGTAAACTAACCTCGTACTGCTGTGTGAGTGTTTGTAGTATACAGGACAGACCACACAATACATTCAAACTATGACACCAGACTGTGCGACTTCGATACCTGTGAGCAGCATTAACAGTTTGCTTTGCAGTGATTTGAGCATTTTAACATCTCTAGTTTGCTCTTTTCATAACAGTGTTTCCTGCAGTAATGGTGCCTGTTAAAGTGGAAGTTGGCTTGTAGTGTATTAACACAGGTAGGGCTGGGAATTTTTGAATCTTCAAATCTTTGAATCTTTGAAATCGATTCAAATCAATTTTGATTCTTTGGGTCACAATTCGATTCAGAATCTATTTTCTGATTCAAAACGATTCTGGCTTCATGATTCAAAGGCTATTTTTTGAATTAGTCCGTTCTTCAGGATCTACTCCAGTCATATGCGAGACTGGCTGAATTTCTTGCTGATCCATTTGGCATTGTACTGAGTTGAAGAGCTAGCATTAGCACTTAGCACCTCTAAACACAAAGTAACATTAACAGAAAATACATAAAAACACATTTAGTGGATGTGTGTGTGTGTGTGTGTGTGTGTGTGTGTGTGTGTGTGTGTGTGTGTGTGTGTGTGTGTGTGTGTGTGTGTGTATCCATCAGTCCCTCAATCCATCCATCCATCCATCTATCCATCCATCCATCCATCCATCCATCAGTCCCTCAATCCATCCATCCATCCATCCATCCATCCATCCATCCATCCATCCATCCATCAGTCCCTCAATCCATCCATCCATCCATCCATCCATCCATCCATCCATCAGTCCCTCAATCCATCTATCCATCCATCCATCCATCCATCCATCCATCCATCCATCAGTCCCTCAATCCATCCATCCATCTATCCATCCATCCATCCATCTATCCATCCATCCATCAACCCATCCATCCATCAGTCCCTCAATCCATCCATCCATCCATCCATCCATCAGTCCCTCAATCCATCCATCCATCCATCCATCCATCTATCCATCCATCCATCAACCCATCCATCCATCCATCCATCCATCCATCCATCCATCCATCCATCAGTCCCTCAATCCATCCATCCATCCATCCATCTATCCATCCATCCATCCATCCATCCATCCATCTATCCATCCATCCATCCATCCATCCATCCATCCATCCATCCATCCATCCATCCATCCATCAGTCCCTCAATCCATCCATCCATCCATCCATCCATCCATCCATCAGCCCCTCAATCCATCCATCCATCCATCCATCTATCCATCCATCCATCCATCCATCAGTCCCTCAATCCATCCATCCATCCATCCATCCATCCATCCATCCATCCATCAGTCCCTCAATCCATCCATCCATCCATCCATCCATCCATCCATCAGTCCCTCAATCCATCCATCCATCCATCCATCCATCTATCCATCCATCCATCAACCCATCCATCCATCAGTCCCTCAATCCATCCATCCATCCATCCATCCATCTATCCATCCATCCATCCATCCATCCATCAGTCCTCAATCCATCCATCCATCCATCCATCCATCCATCCATCCATCAGTCCCTCAATCCATCCATCCATCCATCCATCCATCCATCCATCCATCAGTCCCTCAATCCATCCATCCATCTATCCATCCATCCATCAACCCATCCATCCATCCATCCATCCATCCATCCATCAGTCCCTCAATCCATCCATCCATCCATCCATCCATCCATCCATCCATCCATCCATCCATCCATCCATCCATCATCCATCCATCCATCAATCCATCCATCCATCCATCCATCAGTCCCTCAATCCATCCATCCATCCATCCATCCATCCATCCATCCATCCATCCATCCATCCATCCACCCATCCATCCATCCATCCATCCATCCATCCATCCATCCATCCATCCAAATCTTCATACCGGCTGTTTTTAGAAGTTTTTAAAAACATGAAATCTTCGATCCAAAGAGATTTCTTAACTGCGGTTTTGTTCCTTCCTGACTTTTAGAATCTCATAACGGTCACATTGCTCGCTGCATGTAAATGTGGTCACTGACTCACACAGACACCGCCGTGACCCCGAGGCTACGTTGTATTAAAGAAACCACAGAAGAAGAATGTTTCCATCCAATTATAACAGAGAATGCAGACCCTGAATTGGCCTTTTTTCTCTCTCGATCCAGTTCCCTGTGATATCTGTCTGCACCCTGAACACTGCACCAACAACTGCAGAGTGTGCCCTGACACACACCCGTGACCCCGTCGCATTGCTGTTTTTATGTCATCATGGGTTTCACAACAACGCTGACATCATCTCGATAACGCTGAGGAGAGAGAGAGGGAGGGATTGGGGAGACATACGCCCGGATGGTTTCAACATTTTATACTGGAAACATGTGAGATTTCCATTTGGAGTCGTCTGGGTTTGAACAAAAAAAAAGAGACTAAATCAAATAAAAACTGGCTGCTCATGTTGCACTCTGTGTTTTGGGATTTGGGACAAAAATCAGATCAGGGGAAAAGTCAGATATTTCTCAGCTGAAGAAGATTCTAAATGTCTCGTCTTAAAAATGTTTTTTTCTCTGTCAGGTTTTGAATTTTTCTCTGTCAGGCAGCAGTCTTATACTTGTCTTACTTGTTCTTCTTCCTGGTTCTTTTCCAGAGTGTATCACATCTTTGAATGTCTCTTAAGCATTACACACTTCAGAGCAGAAGTGGTGAGAGTTATAATCCTGCTGAGCCATACAATGGTGCTTGTGTCATTTGACTAAAGCACTGGATTACATAACGAGGTCTTTCAAACTTGACTTTACATTTCTGTCAGTGACTCTGCAGCCCTGGAAACAAATAAATCGGTCTATGAAAGGAGCTCAAACGTGCCGCATGCACACAGGCCGGAGCAGATTGTAAATGTTGTTAATGTGAAACGGGGGAGTGGTGACACCTCCTCCAATGAGAGCTTTGTGAAGAAAAGCAACACACTTGAAAGGAGGGGCAGCGGGAAGAAAAAAAAAATCCACATCAGCTGGAAATGAAGTCAAGTCGTTGGATGGTCGGGCCAGACCTTTACCTCACCCCAGACCAGCTTCTCCCGCCCTTTTTATACAATGAATGGAAACAGTCACTAATGCTGGAGGAGGAGCTCAGTGCAGTTTAAGATTTAGAAACATTTCGTAGCCTCTCTGGGGGAGAAAAAAAGCGGGATTTATAGAACTTTATGGATGGAGCAAAAATGATTTGTTCTTTCAGCAAATCTGTGGAGAAGCATTAACTGTAGTGGTAGTTACCAAAGTCAAGTGGGAAACTTTTGTACAAAATTCACAGGTTTTCAACAAAGGAGCTGCAGCAGTGGGATACTTCCTGAAAGTTGAATGTAGGTTTTTAACTGGAAGAAACACAGGAACAATGTCTGTTTGATGTGGGGTACACTGGGAACGTGAGAATCACTTTTAGAAGGTTTTTATTGCTTTATACACTGGAAATATTTCACATAGATAATCCAATGTCATGATGAAAACTGTAAAAGCATTTAAATACTGTTTCTAATGGAGATTGTCTCCTAACGGCTGCACTCAGTCAGAACACTGAGGGAGGGGTGAGGGGGGAGGAAAGGTGGTGTCCTGTAGGGACCGCTTTGTTTTGGTTTGAGAGATGTTTGACATCTACTATACAGCTATCCTGAAAGTCACATCGTATACCTTAAAGCTTTAAAACTGGAAAAAAAATGTGGGATTGGGGAGGGATGACCTTAAAGGTATGTTTCAAACGCTGAAAGCTAAAGCAACCTACTGGAGTCAATCAAAATTGATTTTACTGTTCAGTTATTTGAATCTCAAAATATGTCAAATCAGGGCCCATGTTTTTAAATTCTACTTTAAATCAGAACAGAGCAGCTTGTTTTTCACCAACTCGTTATGCAACCCAAAGTATGTTTTTACGTTCCTCCAACATGCGTGACAACAGTGATTGTTTGGAGCTGTGAGCGCAGCCGCTCACGCCTTTTGGCTACACAACAGGCGTCAACAAGGCGTAAAAAAAGAAGAAGCCTCACCATCACTTAAAAACACCATGTACTCTGTGTCATGTACTTTGTTTACACCCGATGATTTGCCCTTTTGTTTTATGCCTGTGTCACTTCAGCTCTGAGAAATCCAGAGGAACTAGTTTGTGGAGTCCAAGAAGTGGAAAAACGAGTGACAAGCATGCGCGTGACATTCATGGCTTATTAACTGCTGAAACGTTGAGATAATTATGAAAAGGACGCCATGTGAGAACGCTTTCTCTCCTCCGATGTAAACCCATCTGTCCCGCCCCATGAGCACCAGCAGGAGCAGAAATTTGCCTTTGAGAGGAACCTGATGTCAACTCAAATGGCAGAATTTACATGTCGGGTTGAACCTTCTTGTGAGTACAGCTAAGCAAATAGGTTTGTTGTTTTCCTGCCAAATCCTGCAGAGGAATGCCAACTGACATTAAGGATGTAGGCTGAAGGTTTCTGAGTGCTTTTATAAAGATTTATGCCTCCAGAGATGCCCGCAGAACTTCAACATGTCGGTTATTATCGCTGCTCTGAAGCTCCACATCTGGCTCCTGATGGTGACGGATGCTCAGACCTTACAGTAGGACGAAGACATTCCTCAGATATCGGCATGGTGGGAGTGTTTACATGTGGGAGAGGGGGCTGCAGGAGATTAAATACCTAAGTGCTAATGCCATGTTTCATGTAATTGGCAGTCTTTCTGCTTCACTTCACGTCTACATCCAGGAGGCTTAACAACCGCTGCCTGGTGGCTCATTCCTGCTGCAGCACAAGTTGTGTTTCTGGTTTGGTTTCAACAACGATATGTTAATTTAGAAGTTTTACGGCTGCAGTGATGTGTCTATTAATTCATAAAAAGAAAATTGTAACGCATTTGTAATTATTTTAGTCATTAAGGAGGAAAAACATCCAATTGTTTAACGGTTGGTCATACCTGCCGCTCTTTTGTTTAATTTTTTTATATACTTTGTTTTTATTTTTTTCAAAGAGTTGATTCATTCATATGGTTATTTCATTTCAAAAAACATGTTTTCAATATGAATGAATCAAAAAAAATAAACTACCCCCAAGAAAAGAAGCAGCAACATCTTTAGAAATGAATACACAGACATACATACACATCAGAACAATGAAATAAGAGAGAGAATAAAATAAAATAAAATAAAATAAAATAGAAAACAAACAGACAAAAACAAACAAACAAAAAAAAGGGGAGGGATATAGATGTCTGATTTTTGACTTCTATCAAACTTAATTAGAAATATAATGTAATCACCGATTAATTCAATATTAGGTATATATCAGGTATTTTGGGTTAGGGAATGAATTCAGAAAATAATTTATAAACCTCTGATTTTGGGTCCTTCATCGTTTATTTACATAAATAAATAAATAACTCGTAAATCATTTTTTGTTTCGTTTTCCTCAAAACTCTGACATGATTTAAAAGAAACATGGAAAATTATTAGTTTAGATTAAAAAAAGTGAATTGTTAAGAAAAGCGGGAAAAAAATGTAAAACACACAGTACGTAAATCAGCCAACAGGGAGGCAATCAATCAAAACAATAACAAGTGATGGTGTCGAGGCTGGTGAGGCCCTCGATTAAGAGAATATATTTATGAACGAGTTAATGTATCCAAGTATCATTTATAAAACTTATTATACAGCTACAGATCCCCCCTCCCTATGCAGCGACCTTTGTGGTAGCATCTGGTGTTTCCATGGCAACGATAAACAATTTGTTAATTTGGATATTTTAGTGTAAAAATTCTACATATTACACCTTTAGGTCTGTAGTAAAAGAAAACACTTTATTGATGAAGATGTGGTGTAGGCTTTGCATAAAGAAAGCGACTCAACCTTGAGTCAAGTTATTTTTCCGAAATTAAGATTTTCACATCTTTATATCAGTCAAACTTTGACTTTTCCTGCAACTTCTTTGCCCATTACAGAAGTTTAATCCACCAATTGTCAAAAAAAAATGTCTGAAATTAATGTTGAATGACCCAAAAGCCGAGCTTATGATATGCACCTGGTTTCTAGAGAAGGACTTGAAGATTCCTGTCAAACTGTACATTAAAGCTGCTGCTGCATAGTCTGACACTTCACCTCATGTTTTCAGTTTTTGTCTTTCCTGGAACATCAGAAGCAGCTCAGTTAAAACACATCCGACCACGATTAAGACAACACCACCAGAGTCTACAAACTCTACCAACAAATAATAATAATAATAATGATAATGATAATAAGTTTATTTATATAGCACCTTTTAAAAACACAGGTTTACAAAGTGCTTTGAACAAAGCAAACTAAACCAAACACAGAAGAACATAACGAATGCAAAATACTCAAAATAATTAAATACAATTCAACAGAAAAGAACCCATATTCCATATATACACAACAGACATATATAACCTGACCATCACAAGAACCATCATAAGAACCCAGGCAACACAAGATGTGAGGTCCCAGTCTCCCCCTCGCTGTCTGATCCACAGATGATCTCTCTTTTTAGACAATAGTTTAGAGGCTTAATATGTGATTTTTTACACTTCAATGTAATATAAATCAAGTCTATCCTCTGAAAATAACTCTGTGAGTCATGACTGTCTACAATGGGTGTAACACCCGAGTCCCACTGTCTGTGATGTTTTCAGAGTTTTCAGAGTCCTATCTTCACTTTGTTTACATCGCCAGGACGGCCGGCTGACTCCTCCCCTCGTGTATAAAAGTTGTTTAATTGAGGGACTAGAGAAAAGAAGAATAACATACTGTACTCACTGCTTAACTGTGTTTCTAGATCACGCTCATTTCAGGTAAATTTACATGCAGTGTGAAGATACCAGCATAATAAAGATCGCTAGCATTAGCATGCTAACACAACAATGCAGCGCAAGTTGTTTTGGTTTCATGCTGGTGCTCAAGGGCGACATCTGCTGGATCAAAACATCACATATAAAGCCTTTAAACATGAAGTCACCCTTTGCAGAAGAATCAGTGATTGTAAGAGTAACGAACAACAGCTCTTCTCAGAGATAAAAAAAAAGTGTTAACTGACTTCATGAGGACAAACCGCCCTGGAGCTGCTCCAGTCATGATCAGTGTGACTCCTCTGTGGTCAGAGGTTTCACTTTAATGAGAATTATTTCATCACAGCGTGACGCTTTAAAAGATTTACTGACTGTGCAGGATCACTCAAGAACTGGGCTTCTTTTGAGTCGTTTCACTGTCAGTGGAGGAGGACCAGGATTGACAGCTTTTGTACATTTTGTGTTTTTTATATTTTATATTTTACATTTTTAAATTCTATTTTCTATATTGTAATATCTTCTTATTCTGTATTATTTAAGTTGTTGTTAGTTCTGTTTTATTTCCTTGTTAATTGTTTAGCACCAATACACCAAGTCAAATTCCTTTATGTGTAAATGTACTTGGCAATAAACCCAGATTCTGATTCTGATTCTGATTCTGATTCTGATTCTGATTCTGACAGATTTAAAGTCTTGTTTTGCTTTAAGAATCCCCGTCTCCTGCTGACCAAAGTGAACATTTACTTGTTCCTGTTCAAAGCATCATTTCCTGTCAGTGATGATTTGTAAATCCTCATTTGACACTTTTTGTGATAAAGTCTGCACCTTCAGTTTCCTCGTCCATCAAGTAAATTTACTCAAATATTGTAGTTCAGTACACTTTCCATGGCTCTGTCAGCAAGATTTGTTCCAAGGTACTCTTCTAATAACTATTAGCTTTACTCTAATGAAAGACAAACAAATAATCAAAAAAATATTATGTACTGCTGAACCACACACTCAGCATACTCGTATTCTCCTTTTAAAAATAATGTTGTTTAATGTGTTGTAATAATGTTTAAAATATCCTATTAATCAATGATTTAACACACTGACAGGCATGTTTTTAATTCTAAGGACTAGTGTAACTATTTTTACAGTCATGATTAATAGGGAATATGTCATTTGTCAAATGGGCGTGTGCTCAATGAAGCGCACATATGGCACACAGACTCACTGAGTGTGAGAATAAATATGGAAGAAACATAAAGTACTTCATCTTAAAGACTTACAATACATCAGGAATTAAAAATCCCAAAATATGAACTAAAAGACTGACCACTTAAAGTGCTTAAATGACCCCGAACAACGGATATTAAGACTCACGGACACATGGATGATTATGTCATTAACGGTTAGTACAACATTTAGCAAAACTAAAGGGAATAAAGGTCAGTTTCTTTCAGTTTCTACTCCCACATAGACATTTAAATAGATGTGTGTGTCATTACTCACTATTGTCTCCTCCTCTGTCAGCCCGCACTCCGCAGCGATCAACATGAGCGATGTCTCGTCCGGATATCTGCGGGCTTTAAAACTCTCCTCCAGCACTTGGACCTGTTCGTCCGACAGCTTCATACCCGCCATGATTTTACAGGACATATTCCTACTTTATCCTTGTGTCAAGTCCAAATGGGTGTTTCAGTTGAAATTGAGTCCCCGGTTGGAGCTCCGGATCGGACAGGGGGAGTGGAAGTGCGCACAGCCGGCAGGACGCGCGGTGTGATGGAGAAGCGCAGAGCGGAGGTGGTGGAGGCTCTCTGGTAGCTTTGGAGGGAGCGTGTGAACAAAGTAGATGCTGTGTGTGTGTGTGTGTGTGTGTGAGGGTGTGTGTTTGCGTGTGGAGCTTTTACTACTGTCAACAGAGGAAACGTCATGAGGCCGTTCCCATCAGTAAACCCCTCCTCCAAACATCGCGCGTTTAAAGGCACAATGTGGGAATTAAAGAGTATTCATCATGGCACTGGTTCTGACTAGAAAATACTCTGGAACAAATCTGCCTGTAGTGATATACAAAGCATACATTCAAGTATTGTCTCTACAAACAGAAACATCATGGCATCATTTTACAGGCGACATGAAAAACTTCATTAGCCTACAAGAAATAAAGATAAAGAGTCAAACTGAAGTTGCCAATTTGGAGAATTTTTCAAATCTAGTGGCATTGAAGTGTTTTTATGGACTTTCTGGATAAAATTCACATCTGTTTGTTATTTTATTTTATTTTAAAGGAACTTGCAGTGGATGCTACACAAAAAAACAGTGTTTGTAACTTCAGCTAATCCGCACAGTGTGTTCTGGATGAACCCTTGAAAATATGTCAAGCTGAACAAATATATTTTAACCTCTACGACCATAGACTGTGTATCAATATGGACAGAGAGAAACAGCTGCCTAGAAGTGAAGCCAAAATATTTAGAGCTCCCCCTGCTGGCTGGCTGTAGACCCAGATTCTGTCATTATTAAGTTTTACATTACAACAAAGGGTGTTCATTTATGGAACAGCTGCAGTGATGAAATGAAAACATGTCAAACATTAGGACAGTTCAAACACATTTTCAAGAATAACATATTTAACAAATATAAAATTAAACAGTCAATGGGAAAAATGGAATCAATATCAGTTGTAAGGTCTGTACCGTCTACCAATGAATGTGTGTAATTTATTAAGCTAAAAAGATAAAAGGGGTAGGACTGGATAAGTTATTAAACTTCATCCTACACACTTTTCAAACATGGACTGGTTCAGGAAAAATAATCGAGCCACTACAGAAAGTACGCTTTGTTTGTAATGTATATTTTATTTTATTTTTGAAACATGTTCGAAATAAAAAATAAATTAAATGAATGAAGTTGAATGTAAAATATAATACATGACAATAAGTTTGCTTTTAAGATACAGGTTAAACCAGGGCTGCTGACTTTTGACTTCAGCTTGGCGTTTTCAGGGTGCATCGTATTACTGACATCTCACACACACACACACACACACACACACACACACACACACACACACACACACACACACACACACACACACACACACACACACACACACACACACACACACACACACACACACACACACAGTGATGATGTTTACCTGCTTAATGTCTAACCATGTGTACATGAGTTTATATTATGAGCTGCACAGTGTGAGCGATTAACCTCCGTCCTTCTTCTTCTTCAGTGTTTTCCTGAGTGGACGACCACAGAATCATGTTGATTGGCTGAACAGACATGCACATTCAAAGTGTCCTCTTAGCCCTGTGTTCTCTCTGCAGGTATAACTTAGCATGTGAAAAGGGATGTGTGGCATGAGAGCGTGAGATTTGCATCAACTGTGTAAGTTCCAGGCTCAATGCGTGAAAGTTTGCTGCCCTGGTTAAACTCCAGACAAAGTCAAGCTAACTGTTTTCCCACTGTGTTTACTAGTTATGGAAGGCTAAGCCAATGACCTGCTCGCTCTTTAGCTCCACAGTTAGCATACAAACACGAGATTCAAAATCAGAATCAGAATCAGAATCAGAATCAGAATCAGAATCAGAATCAGAATCAGAATCTGGGTTTATTGCCAAGTACATTTACACATAAAGGAATCTGACTTGGTGTATTGGTGCTAAACAATTAACAAGGAAATAAAGCAGAACTAGAAACAACTTAAATAATACAGAAGAAGAAGATATTACAATATATGAAATAGAATTTAAAAATATAAACGATAAAAAATAAAGATAAAAAAACACAAAATGTACAAAAGGTGCGATGTAGGAGCTGTGCAGGTCGATATTAATCCTACGTTTGGTTTGGCACAAAATCAAGGAAATGTGTTTCCTCCAATTTTCCTAGGTAACCAATACGATGAAGTTAAAGGAATGCGAGTGATACTCATAAGATAAAATAAGGGTGTTAAAATAGAACACAGGTCACTAGAGCACATCAAAATGATAAGAGCACTGATATGTGTATCAGGAAACAGAACTCACTGCAGTATTTCTCATTATTAACGTAGTGTGTGGTGTGTTGGAGTGCATTATAGTGAAAGGTGTTCACTCCATTAACATACACGAGGGGGGGAAATGTAAGGAACACCTTTCAATATAATGCACTCCAACACACCACCACCACCGCCCTCAAAGAGTTAAACACTAACTAGGCGATAAGGAGGATCATCACCTTTCTGAGCGTGTCAACAAAAAGCTTGGTAAAAGTAGAATTGATGGTAGAGCTGTTGTTTTGGATTACATTAGATTGCGCTGATGGTCGTGATGTTTTGGCTGATCAGAGCAGGGGTGGAGCAGCGATTTTAAAAGTGTTCTAATGTTAGCAAATCAACACATTCTGTTTAATGTCCAATAACTGATGTTATCTGACACATCACACAACAAGACAAAGTTACAAAAGATAATTAGACACTAACTTTATGAACAGCCTTTGTGAGTAACTCAGTTAGCTCTAAAAAGATTCAGAAGATCCAGATTCAAAACTGCTCTTTGTGATGCTTTTATTTTGCTTTTCTTCTTGCCTTACGCCTCAGTCTCTTTATTTCATATAACATGTGTTTTTATTTTGAAAAACTACAAAGGGGACTTCCGCTACATCGTAAAGTTCCAGACTAAATAAATACAGCTTAAAGAACAACCAAGAGTTACACTTACGTTGTTTTGTGAGGTGGATTTATCTTAAAAACATCTTTCTGAAGGATGCTACATGTAGCATGTATCCATTTGTTAGCTCTGAGCTCTGACTTTATCTTGTTTAACTGTAATCAAACAGCTGTGATTAACTTTATTGTCACTTAATAAATCTGACTTGACCAATAGGTTTTCATCCATGACTCCACTGGTAAAAAAGTATGAGGGATGAAATTACGTTACAGTGAAAGTGTGGGTGTTGAGATGCGCCTGGATCAGAGTTTGATCCACCATAAAGACTATGTTGCATTAAAATGTAAATAGCTTTTATTTGCTTCTATTTAAAAAAATTCTCCAAACCTGAAAGAAAGAAAAGTAGAACACTGAGTCTAATCCGTCTCTCTTTATGTTCTTAAGTCTGAATGGGTTCACCGACTGACTAATGGAGAGTACAAAGCTATGGGAGGTGTCCCGTTCAAGCATGACTTTGCAGATAAGATACTCCTCCTCGCTCTCTGATACACACTCCACCCCTGAAAGCCTTTTCTCCCTGGTGAACGCCATTATGCAATTTGCGCCGCGCTGTAACGAGTGGATTATTTACTCACACTTTGATCAGATAGGATCCGCATGTCGAGGAAACATCCTGACTAAGCTTGTTGGATTTCACAGTAAATACAGCCTGATGAATGCTGCCACGGCTTCTACACTGATGCTCTCTTTAGCTTGTGATTAGAAACCATAATTATGTGGCACTCTCACTCAAAGTTTAACTTAATCGCCTGCAAAGCTTTCTGGGTGATTTCCTCTTGCCCGGATTTTGGTGGCAAATAATGTCACACCTTCACAAATCCACACACAAATCTCTGAGCTTAAACTAGTCCAAACAAGACGACCCCCTTTCAGATGTTTTATACATCTTTTAGTGCAGTCACAGTTTCAGTATTGTTCAGGATGTAAGCTTTGACATGCACGCTCTGTGATTAAAGGGAAACTTCACCTGTTGAAACATGAATCTGTGTTGACTTTGGGTCATATATGTAGAAATGTGAAATACATTCTGAAGTTGGTGCCTTCTTGACAAGAAAAGGCAGAAAGTGTTTATTTGGCTCATGTGGATGAAAGACACCAAATCCCAGAATGCACAGCACCGTAGGCCACTCCCACTAAGGTCCGAATAAGAATCAGAAATACTTTATTAATCCCAGAGGGAAATTAGATCGTTACAGTTGCTCCAAAATATACAATATAGCAGTAGAAATATAATAATAAAAACTTTTACAGACATGTTTACTTCAACACATGAGGCCGTTTCCTCAACTGATTCTGACAGGCAGCAGCCGTCTCGACGCTATAGTTACATTTTTTTGCCATTATCATCTTTCTCCATAGAGCCTGTTTGCAGAGCTTCCAAAAAATATGGCAGACATTAAGTTTGGATTCTGGGAGTGAGTTCCCACCCACTGATCTGTGATTGGTCTGTAGCTTCAGTGGTCGAAAATATGAGGAACTAGCGTTGTAGTTTCACCCCGCTAACCACAACAGCTTCCAGTGACGCAAAATGACGATTTTTGCGTCACTGGAAACTCCTTTACAGACTTAGAAATACAAAGAAATAAATTCTAATCCACTCAAAGATATCATGTGTCAAAGTACAGGTGTGAAGTCAAGAAAATGGTGCATGATCTTGGTCTGCGCCCAAATGAAACATCGCTCTCTATTGCATTAGTAAAGCCTGTACGGGTCTCCATCTTGTTGTGAAAGCTTCTTTTTGGAGTCTTAATTGGTATGTAATTTGTTCCATTTGATAAATGTCCAGATGTTGGACTTTTAACACAAACATAAATGTATACTTAAAGTGCACCAGATAATCTACACACATCAAACCAGCTGATGCTTTTTCCAACCTCCACTTACAGTTTCTCCTCTGAAAGAAAAAGTATTGATTTCAGGAAGTGTTATGGACAGTCCCTGACTTTAACATCACAGCATGTGACTGACAGCTTGATAACAAGCTGTCAGTTTATGACTAACAAACACATTGTACAGTTCACAGGAACACACTGTAAAACACATAACACAGCTGCGGCCACATCTGATTGGATGCTGCAGATCCTCCAGGTTGTATTGTGGTGATAAGAAAGGTAAATCCTACCTGAGTGATCCAAAGTTCACTCTGAGCAGCTCACACGACATC